ACCAGCAGCATCAACACCAGCAGCAGCAGGCCCAACAACAAGCGCAGGAGCATTCGGAACTACAAGAACAACAGGAGCAGCAGCAGGGACAGGAAGGACAGTAGAAAGGACATTCGGGGATATGTGTTCTCGGTTGAAGAGCCATAGTGCGACTGTATCTCTATTAAGAATGGCATGCGCATGCGGATAAAAAAAAAAAAAAGAAAGAAAGAAAAGGGATCGAGCCCCAGTCTGGTCACCAAGATGATGTACGCACTAACGGTAACGAAGAGATGAAGCTTATGGAAGGTAGAAAGGGTTCAAGGCAGAATTAATTGTTCGTGAGTAAAAGCAGCTACCTGGAATTGATCAATAAAGTATGTTGGTAGACCTGGTACCGCACTTAAACTTTGTACTCATGGCTCTGGCTACATGGCATGCTCTACTGAAGCTTGCGTAAACACATTTTAAAACTGGAGTGTGACTGTCTACCTCTGCTAGATTTAAATCATCGCAGATAATGCTCCTTCTTTCAGTAAAAGGCCGCAGTCGTACTGGAATACTTTGCATCAGCCTCCACAATCACTGAGGCAATAGTAGCCTTGTCCGCAGTCGTGACCTTGGCTTGAATCTCTGCCGAGAATACAGTAGCAAAATATTGAAGGAATTGGGGATTCGCCTCCACCATACTGACAACTCAGGCAGAGGTGAAGCCAGGCTTCTATGTCATCTGTCAGACATCTAACCCACAATAGCAAGCAATGTTCGAGAAGCAAGTGAAAACACCGTTATCGACCAGTTTGTCAAGTATGGCAAGAACATCCGGCTTGAGGTCCGTCACAGAGTTTGTGACTCTTGTGCTCGTCGCAGTCGCAAACGTGCTAGAGGCGATGGCATCGTTCATGGCTTGGTTCAGATCATCCTCCATATCGATCTCCTCATCCTGACTAATTTGCAATCGTCCTGTAGAACCCATCGAACGTGACGCTGAGGGCGGCGATGTCGGTTTTTATACCGTACACGTCGATCGGAACCGTGGCTGCATCGCGTTTCTGCAGGGTTGTAGCCCACGTGCTAGCACCCAGAAGCAGGAAAATAAGTGGGGTTACAGGCATAGTGCCAGAACTGATATGCTCGGTTTTTATCGTTGAATTGTTTGTTTTTTGGTTTTAGGCCAGGTCTTGCCTCTCCTTGATAAGTACTGCCCTATGGTGTTCTGAAGCAACCTGGAACATATAAGTCATAGTACATGTGTACCTCGCCGTCGGTCTGTATAGGCTTCTTCGGCCGCATGAGGCTGAAGCTGCATGGTGGACGCCCGACACGTACCTCGGCGGATCTAGCGATTTTGGGCACGCAAGTAGCGCCGTCCCCGGATAGGACAAATGCCAAATTAGATTGTATGAGGATAGCCTGACACCTGACACAATCACGCCGGGCAGTCCACACTAGCAAGGGTCCATCGCCGCAGCCGACACCTGGCCGAAGGAACTCGTGGGTTGGGATTTTCCCCTCACGACAGCACCAATCACCGTTGCGTGTTAGTGAGGAGGCTGTCCCAGATATTGAGCTTACTAGCAATTGAAGCACTTAAGTAGGGCTGAGGCCTTGTCTAGGCACCACCTTTGCGCCAGCCATAATATATCGTCCACTGTTCAGATGCGCCTGCATCTGTCCGTGTTGATTCCCTTCCACATCGTTCTACCACTGCTTGGGTAATAATCATGGGTTCTGAGGTAGCCACGGCTACCAGCGCAGATGTTTCTCCTTCCTTTGAGGTACCACGCCCGACAATTGCGACATGGAGGCTGGTGATTATTCTTCTTTGGTGAGACCCAAGAGAGGCATCGTCCCCGCCATGAGTGACGGAGCACTGACCATGAGTTCCCGCAGCATCGCCATCGGACTGTTCTTGTCTTTGATGGATACCACCATTATTTCGACCATGCTATACACCATTTCTGACGAATTCGATGGATTCAAAATTTGCTCGTGGATCGTTCTGGCGTACACCCTGTCCTATGTTGGTGAATCTCCACTTCTTGCTTTGCTCTTCTCGAGGAATCTTCAAGTAATACAAATTCAGGATGCGCTGTATTCATGGCAAGATTATCTGATGTCATTGGCCGGAAATTCCTCCTGTGCATGTGCTTCCTGATCTTCCTCGGCGCGTCGATGGGATGTGCCGCGTCGAAGAATATGAGCCAGCTCATCGGCTTCCGTGCGATGCAGGGAATCGGCGGATCGGGGCTGTACGCGATGGCCATGATTATTTATCCCGAGATCAGCCCCCCTCCTTTACTCCCCGCAATATCTGGCATCATCGGGGTGGTTGTCGCTCTTGCTGGGATTAGCGGACCGTTGATCGGGGGCGCCCTCACGAGTTATCGCACCTGGCGCTGGGGATTCTGGATAAAGTACGTCCTTGCAACAGCTCAAGAGATGCAGATGAAGAAATCTGTCTGATCACCTTGTCTAGCGGCCCATGTGCGTTTGTTCCTCTGGTAACCCTGTTACTCGTGTGGCCCAACGATTTCCATTTCGCGAAGAATGTTCGTTTCCGACACCTTGACTATCTCGGTACACTTCTCATACTTGTCGGATCTGTCCTGTTCGTCTTTATCTTGAATGAAGCAGCCATCAGAGCCTATGCGTGGAACAGCGCGCCGGTGATTATCGTCCTCATCATCTCCGTACTGTCATGGGGAGCGCTCGTCTACTGGCAATGGGTTATCTTATCCAAACCGAGATTCAAGCAGATTCGGCCTCAATTGCCGTTCCGGCTACTGTCAAGCCGTGTCATGGTCGCCGGCTTTGTGTGAGTCTTTTTGGAGGCGATCCCCCGAGAATATTAAATAACACCCCACTGACGGGCCGGCAACAGGAGCACCATCCTGACTGGATTTGTCATGCTTCTGGCCATCGTCAACATCCCCCTGCGCGCACAAATTGTCAATGTGAAGGACGCGGTCGCATCTGGGATTTTGCTCCTCCCGTTAATGGCAGGCACAGCCGTCGGCTCTGCGATCGGCGGGGCCGCGTCTGCGAAGCGAAACAATGCCTTCTGGACGCTGAACCTGGCGAGCATTTTCATGGTGATTGGGTGTGCCTCGCTCTCGACTCTGACGGACTCGGTAGACCCTGCACCGAGGCAGTGGGGACTCGAAGCAATTCTGGGGTTTGGAATCGGGTTGAGTCTCTCTACAATCACGTTTCTTACGACTATGCAGGTTGAATTTCAGGATCATGGTACGTGCGTTCCTTATACTTATCCTCCAATACGTATATCCGGCTGCGGTAGTCAAACAGATATCCCTTGAAACTCGTCGAAATATCAAGAAGAAAAAAAAAATTGATCTTAACCCCTTTATAGCTGTCGCCCAAGGCATCGTCGCCCAACTGCGCATTTTCGGCGGAAGCATCGGCATCGCCTCGGGCTTCATCGTCTTCAACACAGATGTCCAGCACACGCTCACCGGCGTTCTCACACCCGAGCAACTGGATGCATTCTACCGGACCCCCGTCGCAATCTACCGGCTCCCAGTGCAGCAGCAGCTTCTCGTTCGCCAGGTCTATGTTAGCACGTTCAATACCGACATGCGCATCTGTGCGGGTATCGCGGCGGCGTGCCTCGTTGCGACGCTTTGCACGTATCAGCGAAAACCGCAGTCGATCAGGCAGCGGCTTGCGGATTTAGAGGAGGCGTATGCAAGGACTGAGGCAGCTAGGGGCGAGGGGGCTGCGTGAAGGGTCAAGGTTGAATGGCGACGTGGGAGCGTGTCCCGCTGTGGATGCTAGAGGGGTGGATGTAACAAGGTTAATGTAAAGGAGGAATGGTTGTTGGGAGGCTTCCATTGCATTCCTAGAGCCACGTCGTAGCAAAAATACTTCGCCCCGCCTCCGGGCTCATTAAAAGGAAATGAACCATTGGAAATTGACTCGATGTTGAGATGTAGGCAGATATATCACAACAATCACAGAGAAGACTGGAAAGATAGACTATTGGCTATGTCTCCACTAGTTATAAACGCATTCATGAATTTACAATTATAATAAAGTATTATAATACGATGGTGATTTTACCTACCCTCAAATAGTCTACAATGCTATTAGAAGATACATATACTATCTATCACGAGTATAATCTGAAGATATATGTCTCTTGCAATTGCACTCTACTCATGCTAGTGAATGTTACAGTTTTAGGACCCAGAGAATTCCATTATGGTAGCGTCTAATCTCTATGCACATTTACATTTCTTATTCTTTTTCTTTCATTTATCTCTGGGTATGAATCCAGATGGTATGAATCCAGATGGTATGAATCCAGATGGTATGAATCCAGATGGTATGAATCCAGATGATTATCCTCCCAACCAGCCATCAGTCGTAATCCCAGACAGGGGTTCTTCCGACTAGACGGACTACGTATCTGACTGGTGCAGTCAAGCCCAGATAAGGAGCTGCAAGGTTTAATATAAAACTAACGCCGACTAGTTACCTTAGCGTCAGATACAGACACACTTCTGCTGTTGCCTAGGGAAAACCCCTCTCTTCTTTTGATCAGATTGCTTGGGAACCCATCTTTAAAATCCCACACTAAAGTCGTTGAACTTTGTCGGCGTGCATATTCTGACTTTCACGAATAATAGGTAACGGTACACATTGGCTATCGTTCATCTACTAACATGGCAAGCTCATGCAGCTCTGCAGCTGATAGGGCATTTGGGCCGCCAATTCATGGCTGCTCCTACTTGGACTTTACCCTACTCTTTGAGCAGGTGATATTTGGTATCGTCCTATCGGCATGTTTTCTCCCAGCCGTAGCCTGGAGGATACTGCAGCTCCTTGGGCAATCCAGGAAGATCACAATGGAATCAAACCAGCATGCCAAGGTATCTATCGGTGTGAAGATCATTCTGAGCCTCGTTTTGATCTGCAGCCAACTTATTTTATTGATGCTCTGGGCAATGTCTCCTCAGTATCGCAATAAATTCACCATTGCATCGGCTTCCCTATCATTGGTATGTTCCCTCGGCATACCGATCCTGTCATGGAAGGAGCACGTACGATCAGTTTCGCCTTCCAATCTGCTTTGTCTTTATCTTCTACTCAGCACATTGCTTGATGGTGTACAGGCCCGGACATTATGGCTACGATTCCCCCCTACTATTGCGGGGACATGTACTGCAGGCCTGGGTGTTCGTTTCTTGTTGCTCATAGCAGAGTCACAAGAGAAACATAAATATCTGAAGCCTCAATTCGTTGATTATTCTCCAGAAAAGTTAGGGGGCATGGTGAATCGTGTCATGTTCTGGTGGCTGAATCCCTTGCTGGCCCGCGGGGCCCGCGGGCTGTTGAATGGCAGCCATCTTTTCCCTCTTGATTCCAACCTCTCGGCTGAAGCAGTGCAGGCCAAGTTCGAGTCGGAATGGCTGTCGAGTATGTTACTTCTTCTTTCTTGAGATGAATTGAACCGAGGTATTTAATGACTATGTAGCTCTGAAGGATCGCCATGGAGGCCAACATAAGCTACTGCTGACAACATTGTCTTGCGTTCGACGAACTTTGATGTGGACAGCAATCCCCCGAATTGGTCTCATCGGTCTCAAGATAGCGCAGCCGTTATTTCTTAATTGTGTCATTCGGTATCTCTCTGCTTCCACTAAAGACCATGCTGTTGGAGGGGCGCTTGTTGGAGCTACAGTCTTGATCTATCTGGGAACGGCAGTACGCTTCCAACCCTCATCTACCGATCAGAGCCGTGAAGCAAGCTGATGAAAGAGATGTACAGGCCACGACGTCGCTATATATGCATGGGCTAAACCGTGCCATCACTATTGTTCGAAGCCTTTTGGTTACTGCCCTTTACGAGAAGATACAACGACTGGACACTGTTACGGTGAATAATTCAGCTGCGCTAACGTTGATGAGCACCGACACAGAAACCATCTGCAACAGCTTGATGCGATTAGACGCCCTGTTCGCTTCGCCTATCGAGGTCGGCCTTGCCATATTCTTCCTTGCACGACAAGTAAGTTGGGCATGCTTAGCATCGGTCGGATGTGCCTTGGCAGCCGTGTCCCTCAGCTATGTTGTAGCTGCCCGGTCACCTCCACGCCAGAGAATATGGAACCAGGCTGTCCAGGAGCGTATCGCAATCACTGCCTCTGTCTTCAATTCGATTAGGAGCATCAAATTGCTCGGTTGTTCTTCTTTTGTAGCACGGCGAATATGTGACCTTCGCAACGCCGAGCTTGAACGCGCTCGGGGGGCCCGCATGCTTATAATGTGGAGAAATGTTGTTGGTACAAATCTTTCTTATCCATTCCAGCGATGACTTCATACTGATAGGCATTTATAGCAAATATACCACAGATTGCCGGGCCTATTTTAACGTTTACGATTTTCACAATTGTCTCCGGAAGTGGTGTGGTCACTTCAGCAAACTCCTTTACCGTACTCGCCCTGATTGCTTTAGTCACTCAGCCTATACAAGTCTTTGTTCACGGAATAACCCAGATGGGAGTTGCTCTAGGTTGCTTCAAGCGAATTCAGGACTATTTTAATTTGCCCGAAGTTGCGGCCGGTCAGGTCTCTCACCACAGTGACGAGAATCAGGTACCAATCAAAGGCCTCTCACCGAGCGTGCTTGAGCTAGAAGCCCTCCCCGTGAATGGCAAGTGTCTATCAGTACACAATGCCGCCTTCAAATATGCGGACTCAACCACACCGATTTTGACGAACGTGAACGTCGAGATACACTCCTCTACGCTGGCAATTGTCACAGGGGCTACCGGCTCTGGAAAGTCTTCGCTACTCAAAAGTCTCATAGGAGCAGTACCCTGCGTCGCGGGTTCTTACTCAAAGTCAGTGGCAATAGCTTACTGTGCACAAGAGCCGTGGTTGCCAAGTGTTTCTGTTAGGGAATGCGTGACTGGTCCCTCCTACTTTGACGAGGAATGGTATACCACTGTTCTCCATGCATGTGCTCTCGACGAAGACATCTCTGCTTTTTCCGAAGGAGACAGGACTTTTGTTGGCTCCGGTGGTACTTCACTAAGCGGTGGGCAGAAGCAGCGCTTGGCAATAGCGAGGGCCATATACTCGCGCAGAAAGCTCCTAATCCTCGACGATGTACTCAGTGCATTAGACGTTATCACAGCCAAGAAGGTTTTTGATCGCGCTTTTGGTCCTAAAGGATTATGCAAAGCCCACAATGCCGCGGTGATTCTTGCTTGCAGTGATCCCAAGCGCATCACATCACCTGATAAGATCATAAACCTTCAAGATGGCACAACCACATCAGGACCCCCATCGGAAGTGCTTCAAGACAAGATTATTTCCATATCGAGTGAGAGCGAAGTCAGACCCACCGAAGAACGAGCTCCTGTAACCACAGGGACGGAGAAAAAACTGATAGAGTCCCGCCAGGACCTACCACGCCGACTCGGTGACTTTTCTGTCTACAAATACTACGTAGAATCAATGGGCTGGAAATCCTCCGCTTGCTTCCTAGGCCTCATAGTCGTGCAGGTATTCGGATCGAAATTCCCTACACTATGGCTCCAATACTGGTCCGACCATGACTTCAACTACTCCCTCGGTGTTTACCTTGGGGTGTACGGGATTTGTGCTTTCATCCAGCTAATTGGCACCATCCTCAGCATCACATTCCTCATCATCTTCCTCGTCGCGAAAAGCTCCCGCCGCTTACACACACAGCTCCTAACGGCTACCATGAACGCTCCCTATTCATTCTTCACCGCGCACGATAGTGGTACTATCCTGAACAGATTCAGCCAAGACCTTTCCCAAATCGATAATCAACTATCGGGCGCACTTCTCATGACGATCTTCGGCGCTGGGACACTAATCGCCGAAGTTATGCTCATCGCCGCAGGAAACAAATACATCGCTATCACGGTGCCATTCGTGATTACTGTTTTCTACGCTCTGCAGAACTTTTACCTGCGGACTTCACGTCAGCTACGGCTCATGGAACTCGAAGCACAGAGCCCGCTCTACACACACTTCCTTGAGACGGCCTCGGGCACGGACACTATCCGTGCATTTGGCTGGCAAGCCGCATGGGCGGCGCAGTGTCGACAATTGGTTGATACAGCCATCCAATCGTATTATACAATGTTCTGTATCCAGCGTTGGCTGAACCTCGTCCTCGATCTTATGGCAGCTGGTTTGGCGATAATTGTTGTCACCGTGGCGGTTACGTTAGGTTCATCGGTGCATACCGGTGCGATCGCAGTTTCTTTGCTGAATATCGTGGGGTTTAGTAGCAGCTTATCGTATCTCATTACTTCGTGGACACAACTGGAGACGACTCTTGGCGCGATCGCCCGCGTCAAGAGTTATGAAGAGACTGTCCCGAGGGAAGATGCCCAAAATAGTGAGCTTACACAACAGCCTGCGGAAGACTGGCCATCTCGCGGGTCGATCAGGCTTGATCATATCTACGCAACGTACGACGCCCACCAGAGTCCTCGTCAATGCATTCTGCGCGATATTACTCTCTCGATTCACGCCGGAGAAAAGATAGCAGTATGCGGTAGAAGCGGAAGTGGTAAAAGCTCGCTCATTTCTCTTCTGTTCAAACTTCTTGAACCTATCGCGGGCTCTGTGTTTATTGACGAGATGGACCTGCGCGATGTTCCCTGCGACGTGCTGCGGGCCCGATTTACCGTTATACCCCAAGACCCACTCATCCTCCCAGGAACACTACGATTCAACCTCGATCCAAGCGGAGAGCAGTTCTCTGACGATGCAATACTCTCAGCTCTGGATACTGTAGGTCTAGGGATGGATCCAAGTACAGGGCAGCCTTATTCTCTAGACCTTGAAATAAGTACTTCGACTCTCTCACGCGGCCAATTCCAGCTTTTAAGTCTAGCGAGAGCATTACTTCGGCAGAGAGAAACCAAGATCCTTGTCCTTGACGAAATCAGTGGAAATGTTGATGTCGCTACCGAGAGGTTGATGTTCCGGATTATCCAAGACTATTTCGCACATGCGACCGTAATTGCAGTGACACATCGATTGAGATGCATCCGGGACTTTGATCAAGTCGTGATTATGCAAAATGGCTGTGTTGTCGAGACTGGGAGGCCCGGGGAGTTGCTAGTTGAGCGGAGTTTGTTCAAGCAATTGTGGGATGAGCAGTGAGCGTTTCGCGGGATTTGAAGTTGATATAACGGACAGGAGTTTCCTTGAGCAATATTGGACTACACAGATATGTGTTCAACAGTACCATCTACTGTAGCGACAATTCATAAGAGAGACAAACGAAGCCAGATTGCCCAAGACGTGCAGCTCCAACAACCTACTCCTACTTACGCATACTCCAGGCCTTATCTGCTAACGATAAGCCTAGGCTCATGTATATGATAAGGTGGGAGTATTAATCGGCAATGCATAAGCCGATTAGTTAATCATATTCCTTACTAGCGTTCTAGGATCCAGCTTCGCAACATGCCTGACGTGTCTTACTGGATTGGCGCACCAGTTCGGTCATAAACATTAGATTGAGTGATACAGGGGCCAATGTTAAACTCCATCGAGATGCATAGAAAACTTATCATGCTATGTCACTCGCTCACTCAGGTTCCCCTAGCGGAGATAGATGTAACATGGCAGGCATAGAACTACACTATCAAAATAGTAACTCGAGATTGTATCTAAGCTCCCTCCGGAGATGAGATCACAAGGAGGGCATTAGATATATGCTGGATATTCTTTTGTCAGTACTGTCAACAGATATTCAAGAAAGTTTGAGTCACAGTTGCTCCATAGAAAAAAAAGAAATTGAACAATATACACGTCATTAGTTGTACATATGACCCTAAATCCGCCGTGAAACGTGGATGCAATGAAGGCCAGCTAAATAAATTAAACTAACAGATCCTGGTGGAAATAGTGTAATCTGCTAATATGTTCACATGTAGGCAGTACCATAATTCGCCTATGCGGCTATTGTTGCCTAAACTGTGGCGGAGATATTCCTTGCTTGCTTGCACACTATCTTATTTAGTTTTCTGGTTTTAGGTGTCTAGCAGTACTATAGTTAATGTAGTAGCATATCATAGATGTCCTTATCTTTGAGTCATGCATGAGTCAACCCCAGATACTAGGGAATTCTACGTAGTGAGCAAGGCAAGCAAGACATGTACTGATAAACACGCTCATCAAATGGAATGAAATGCCAGGCAGACACAGTCGAAGCTCTACTGAAGTATCATTTCACGTACCACACAACAACTCATAGCGCCAATAAGGTACTGCTGGGTGTAAATAGTTAGTTTCGGCACCCTCCAGGAGTCTAGTATTGAATGGGCCAAAGTTAGTAATTCTTGCCTACTTAGTTAGTACGACTTCTTTGGTAGTAGCAGCCTCCGCCATCCATTCACTAATGATACACTAGTATACCATTATACCAGCCCCCCGCAACCATGAAAGTGACTCTTACACTCAAACGACCCCCCTCCGCTGAAGACATTACCTACCTTCATGAGTCCCTCAAAGCCATTCATCCAGAAGTCACCGAAACCTCGCGCGAAGGACTCAAAATATGTTTCGCGGCACCTACGATGGATGTTGAAGCTTTTGTGGATTTGTTTCCTTCATGGCTCCATTCTTCTTCGCCGGATGTGATTATGGAGGGGTATGCTCTGGTTTCTGATATTTAGTCTTTCTATCTTTTTTGATATTATTATTTTGATTGCCGTGTGCTGTACTTGGCCATATAGTGTTGGTGCTGTTCTCACTGAGAACGGTATAGTATCTGCCATGGTTGGTCGTATGCAAAGCAAATGTAGCAGATAGGGTGATGTGGATCGATCTACTTGACCACAACCTGAGTCCCAGGAGATGGTCTAACTACTCGACATGAAAATTAGTGGATTACAGGGAACTAGTGTAGCGGTTAGTAAATCACATGTGGGAGAACTATCGCCTGTGGACAGCTCTTACAGCCCTGTTGCTTTGTAGCCGCGGCATCGTCAGCAGAAAATCCCTTGTGCTGCACAGTTAGCCTATCTTTAATAATAGATGAAAGGTTCTGAGTGAGTAACCTTCACACCGAGTCAACACTGGGCAAATTCCGCATATGATGCAATGCTCTGCCATAGCCTTGATCCTATGACATTGTTATGCGACGGTTAACCTCGGAAAAGCATGCCCCAGCCTTGCTCATGAGGCTCTAAATGAATAGATAGTGGTAGGGCACAAACACTGCCCGCCTAGGCAACATACTTAGTAACGTAGTCGAAAGATCGGCTCGGACGAACTGCGACGAATCTTGGATAGTCTAATAGACGCTAGACGATGGACTTGGGACTTGGGAGGCCATCCCGCGATGCAAGCCGCGGACTGGGGACGGTGTCTTGTAGCGACCCCACCAAGGCGGGATAGAGTGGAGCCGTTGATTGGGGCAACACGACGTGCTTTCTCCACGGCCCTTTCCGTGGATGAGAAAAATAGATCAATCGAGAAGGCCAGCTGAGTTGCGTTGAGCTGCAAAAGGCTGGGATCGATATTGTTGTTACGTCAGCTTGTGACTTGGCGGGCACGAGAAGTGAGCAAGCGAGCAATCCATTGAGCTGTCTCCGTCGCTTTTTGCATTCGTAGCTCAAGTCCGTCGAAGTTAGGTGCATATCGGTCGAATAGTAGAAACTCAAGGCTGCGGGCACACGCAAAGGGGGGGATTTTCTAACGTATCCAATTGCCTGAACCTACTTTGTCAACAGCCCCCGATCATCGTAGAGCTTAAACTGGGATGGGCATGATTTTCGAAGAGGATACTGTGAGGCTGCCCGTCTCCTTAAAATAATCCCCTGAAAAGCCCACAGATCACAGTACCTTAGCGCTGGGGTCTCAGAGATTATCTATCTGTATCCCCTATATCAGTTAGAGTATATGGAGTACGGGGTAGGGTTGCACATGGTAGTTAGAAACCTGACAGCCTACAGTTAACGGTTGCGACACATGCTCATGGCGGCTCTGATTGAGTAACCCCACACAAAAGGTCTCATGCAGTCATCAGCTCATGACTTGCGCCGAAGCTAATAAGATAGTTCATCGTGGCTCCTGCACTAATATGTACGACAGAGGCCAGTTTTCGCGTCGCCAAAGTAACGTCAGGAGAGGCAGGTCGGGCGTTTGCAGCCTCCCGGTAAGTTGTTCAGCCCGCTTGTGATCATCGGGATCATCGTGGGAAGGGAAACGCTGTCGGGAAGCAGAGCTGCACCGCCTCAGGCGGGACTCGTTACTAAGTGACTTGCCCAGTCCGGATTGGGTGCCAGGCCCCCCCCGGGGTTGAGTTCTCTCGCTTCAAGAGAGTAAAACAATTTTAATACCGAGTACCAAGGAAATAAAACGTGTGGGAATGAATGAGAGGGAAAGGCTTAGCACTGATCACATCGCAATTTATAGAAGCTGGCCATCAAACCACCAAGGGATGGCGACGGGTAGGGAGTTCCTAAGCCAATAAGAGCGATCAGGATGTGAGTACCGCCAACCGACCGGGGAAAGATCGGCCAGCGACAAGTGTTTCAGCCACTAACAACCAGGGAATCTTCGCGATCGCCGCGTCATGCGTTGATGTTGCCCTCGACTCTCTTGCCTTTCTCCCCCATGCACGGCCCCATTCAGGGTCGACACTCCCCTGACGACTGCAGCTCAGCTATATTACGCACACAATGGACGCCATCAAAGTGCGCCCGTCCCCTTCGGCGCTTTCTCCACCTCTTCCCCTTGACCTGGGTGCGACTGCCCTTACAATGCGATCCATTTCCTCCCAGATTCATCTCTCCTCGTCTGCCCTTTCGCGATGGCGCTCTCCGGTTGCTCTCGCTGGCGCCTCCGACAAAGCTATCATCTCTGCCTCTTCTACATCACAGGCTTTCTGAGTTTTTTGTGCATCATCATCATCTGGTATTGCGTCAATACCGATCGCGACTATGTTCACCCACTGTTGACCCAGTTGATCCCCGCCGGACACTGCGCCTGTCAAACCTCCACCACCTTCCAGTGCGCCAGCTGTCTGACATGTTCGCATCCGGACCTGGTGCAACAACTGTCCCCAGCTCCGGCGTGGGAATTTCAACCTGCTCGAGACGGCAGCAATGAAGGCCTCGATCGTGCCCAGTGTACGAATGCATTCCCGGGTCTTTTCGAAGATGTTGTTCGCGCCACGGGCTTTTGGAAGTCTCAGGGTGCGCTGGCTATGGAGGACTTGGACGAGATCCCTCTAGCATATGGTATGGCGCGGGCGTTTATCCACGCCGGTGAGCTTTATGTGGTGGCGGCGCGGTCCAAAGGTGAAGACCATCGACGTAAAATCGTCGCCGTACTGAGTTCTATTCACCGGGCGTTAGTCGCCGATGCCAACCGTACCTCGCAAAGAGATATTGAGTTTGTGTTCTCCGTGGAGGACAAAGTAGAAGACGTGACTAACTCCGACCATCCTGTCTGGACTTTGGCACGATCCGCCACGGAGGAGGCCGTCTGGCTAATGCCTGACTTCGGGTTCTGGGCCTGGGAAAATATTCAGAATTCGATCGGGCCGTACGACCAAGTTGTCAACCGTATCAAACGCGCGGATATCCCTTGGTCAGAGAAGAAACCGCAGCTAGTCTGGCGGGGAAAGCCTAGCTTCGCCCCCAAACTGCGCCGCGCCTTGATGGAAGCTGCGCGAGATCAGCCATGGGGGGATGTGAAGCAGGTCGACTGGGATCAGAGGACGAACATAATACCCATGGAGGATCATTGTCAGTATATGTTCATCGCTCATGTCGAAGGTAAGCTTTTCCCCTTAATGCTAGCGATGCCCGACCGCATCTGTACTGACTGGGATGTGTGATGCAGGTCGCTCGTATTCTGCGTCACTGAAGTACCGGCAAGCATGCAACTCGGTCATTGTGGCGCATAAGCTGCAGTATATCCAGCACCACCACTACCTTCTCGTACCAGACGGGCCGCAGCAGAACTATGTCGAAGTTGAGCGGGATTTCAGCGACTTATCAGACAAGCTCGAACCTCTGTTGGCCGACCCCAGTCTTGCGGAGCGGATTGCCAACAACAGCGTGCGAACCTTCCGCGAGCGGTATCTGACCAAAGCAGCCGAGGCCTGTTACTGGCGCAGACTTTTCGAGGGGTATGGCAGCGTTTGGAACAGCAGCGTCCCCGTGTGGTCCGAAGCGTACCAGCGCGAACGTGGCCTCCGATACGAGTCGTTTCTCCTGATGGACAGCCAGCTGATGTTTGAGTTCGACGCGCTGAGATTGTCTTATTGATACCACAATCAACCACGCATGACATTATGGGTATAGACTATTTCCTTGGAGCATGGTGTTTGAAGGAGTTAAACAGAAGAGGTTCTTTATTCAACATTCACAGTCCCCTGTATGGCGATACTTTCGTTTGAGATACCACTGGGCGGGTGCCATTTTTGATTGATAGACCAGATGTATGAATAGTGCTGGCGATGACAGTCAGATGCAGGTTTCATAGGCGAGCTAAATTATCGAATGCATGTTGATCCATTAGTTGTGCTGTCATGGCGCCGATCAGGACCCCGACCCCGTATTCCCATGTAGTGCAAGTAATCGGTGAGCTCTTTCGGCTTTTCTATCCGACAGGTCGCCATCATGGTGCATCCACAATATTTTTGGGTATCAGCATGGTATTGCCAGGTCATCTCAAAGAAACTCTGCAGGTATGGAGATAATGATATGGTGAGGAAAAAACAGCCGAGTTGAGCTGCGCGCGAGTGAGTCTTCCCGGGCGGGGAAGAGTGACACCTCTCAAAACTTTGGCTTGTCTCACTTCCCAACCACCAGCACCACCATCACCCAGTTCAGCTCTTCCTTCTGCCGGATTGGCTTATCTCTGACGATCTCGGCTAGTTTTCGCGCCCACTTAGGCCGCGATTCTGCAGAACCCCAAGAGACTAAAGCATGCCATCGAGTCAGTGGAAGGGAGTGATTGCCTGCGAGGGTTCACATCCTCATTGATCGGCTTTGCCATCCAGCCAGCTGGGTATGCCTGACCAACAACCAGCATGTGTAACCTCACGTCAATTCTTGCTCCTGTCAGCGCTGGCACTCGACGCCACCAAACCAAAGGGATGTCACTCACAATCTCTGGCACTGGCATTCAATGGAGGAAGACCGAAGAGTGGAGATCGGATCAGCTCCTCGGGTACCGGGACGGCACCAGACAATCGAGTAAACAAATCCATTCATTGATCGATCTTAGTGTTGTTCCAAGAACACTTTTTGTCCTTCTGCTTCTCGACTGACTTCTCCTTTCATAATCAATCACTGACTTCCATTGGCTCTCCTAGAAGAACGATGCCCTTAGACAGTACACCGCCAGCCCCTTTTCAAGTTTTAACTTTTTTCACTTTCCGAGTGTCCCGCTGACAATTGGTCCACCGTGAGTGGCATTCCTGCCGTCGCGTCAAGCAAGGAAGCTCACTCTGTTCCCCACGAACCATGATCTGTGCGGCGATCGGCTCCTCGTATGGAACGCCTGGACCACTGAGATTGCGGCGGTGGAGCTCCCAAGGGAGCGGACAGCCAACTATCGGAGGGATCTTCGGCGAGATTCAGCTCAGATGAGATTTGCAGCCACACACATTCGTGCAGACTATCCATAATAGCGGCCGCCTGGATGGAGGTCGCACGGGCGAGAGAAGACAGGCTGCAGGGGCGCACGTTCGCGTTGAGAATGGTGGGTTTAGACTATATAAGCTAGGACTGCTGTCCTGGGCTCTGACTGCTCTTCTGCTTCTAATCCCTTTGTCTCCCCAAATCTCTTAACCATGCCGTCACCAATTCCCAAGCCCCCCGGGGTGTTCCTCCTCGGCAACGTGAAGGATGTGAATGCTGCGAACCCTTGGAACTCATTCAACAAGCTCGCGGCCAAGTACCGTAAGTCTTCTCGTGTTTCTCACTCAGTTTTATCGCTGATGTGGTTCCGATTCGCTTCGCAGGTCCCATCTGCAAAGTCACCATCCTAGGCGTAGACATCGTCTTGATCACGGGAGCCGCCCTTCTCGAAGAAATCTGCGATGAGACCCGCTTTCAGAAATGTGTGGCCGGTCCCATCATTGAAATTCGCGAAGCAGTACACTCTAGCTTGTTCACTGCAAAGATAAATGAAAAAGAAATGAGCCAGTGGGGAGTCGCTCATCGCATTATGGCGCCCCTGCTCACACCGGGGGCCGTTGACCAGGTCTTCGCGGATATGCGGGAGGTATCAACAGATCTGATCAAGAAATGGACCGCCGGCCCCCGCCAGCGCGTCAGCGTCACCAACGACCTGGATCGCCTCAACCACGCGGCCAACATGCTCTGCTTCTTCGACCAGCGCCTACACTGCTTGGAAGGCCCAGAGCCGTCTCTCATCAAAGCCATGGAGAACGCCACTACAGAGGCCGTTCGTCGAGCATCCCGACTCAAACTCGTCAACTGGCTTTTCTACCAGCGCAAATTCAATGCTTACAACAAGACTCTGCGCGACTACTCCGCCAGTTGCGTCGAATACCGACGCACTCACCCATCCGCCAAGAAGGACATGCTGTATGCTCTTATGGAAGGCAAGGACCCCGAGACCGGCGAAGGACTAAACGACGAACAAATCGTCGACGAAATCATCAACGTATTCATCGGCAGCGCGACAGCCCCTAACCTCGTCGCCTTCGGCCTTTACTATCTCATGAAGAACCCGCATGTGATCAAACGCGCCCGGGAGGAAATTGACGCTGTTGTCGGCGGCCCCGGTGCGAAGATCGAACACGAGCACCTCTCCCGTCTCCCTTACTGCCTTGCCATCGCTCAAGAAACCATGCGCCTTGCCGCCCCAGCCCCCGGCTTCAATCGCGAAGCTATTCAAGACCAGGACGGCCCAGTCCTACTCGCAGGCGGCGAGTACGAAGTGCCGCGCAAACAGGCTCTCATCGCAGTCCTGTACGGTGTCAACCGCGACCCCGCTGTCTTCGAAGACCCCGACGCATTCAAGCCAGAGCGCATGATGGGCGAAGCATACGAAAAGCTACCCTCCGCGGTAAAGAAGGGCTTCGGTAACGGCAAGCGTGTTTGCATCGGAAAGAAATACGCCTGGGAATGGTCGTACTTCACCCTCGTCAGCATCCTCAAGGATGTCGAGTTCGAACTCGCTGACAAGAACTATGTCACTGATGGTGCGGGTAACAATTACAATGGCGCGTTCACCGTGAAACCGTTGGACTTCTTCGCCATTACTGGTCCACGCCCGAGAGCGGGCTGAGCTTTTTGCTTTTTCTTCGGTACATATAATATTCCGCATGCTTTTGCTTCCTCCATATGCCTGTCTATGATATCCAGAATGCGTGATTGTGTGTAATCTATGAAGTTGATGTTCTTGGCTCGAATAGCTTCCACTCGTGAGACTGGGAGGTTAATGAATGTGACTGCGTGTCTTGGTGACTAGTAATATACACATATCAAGATAATATGCACCTTAAATTATATCATTTTTACCCAGTTACTACTGAAATACTGTCATCTAGGTATATCCCCTTTCGAAGCACTTAGTTACTTTCAGTACGCCCTTTACTTTGTTGAAGCTCACGTGACGGAGTAGTAATCTGGTCTGTCCATATGCAAATTCCACCTGGCTTGTTTATCGCTTCTTTATCGCTCTCTAGTCTATCTAATTGGGGTTACAAAATATTGAAGGAATAAGCACAAAGCGAAGAACAAAAATTGTAATACGGCAGTTGTGGAAAGCAAGATGCCCATCCTGCATAACAGGGCGTCACGGCTCCCTACACACATGCACTGTATCCAAGGCAGTGCAGTCAATACCTCATGGGTATTATTACTCTACTGCATAGACTCGGAAGTAGAGATGCAGTGGTAAGATGAGCATCTATACATGAACATCTTTAGTCTTGTCAATGGGGAGAAGGGTAAGATGGGCCGAGGTAAGGGATCCCAGACCATGCATGAAATGAGATTATCTCCAGGATCACCACATAGATCTAGACCCTCTTTTCAAGATAGACAAAATAGCTATTGACGCGCTAAGCGTCACTGGGAACACTATAGCTGCGCTTAGTCCTCTTTTACGCGTAAGAGGCTCGGATACACCGCAGGGATCAGTGGCAGTCTAGATCTTGAAGAAAGCTGTTCGCGCCACTGTAGCCTTAAGGCGACGGGTATAGTAGTAGCCGTTTGCTGCAGTGCTCCATGGTAACGTTTAACAGCTTTCCAAAGCTCCGGATGTTTGTGTGTGCGCGCGCCGGTCGAATAAACAGACTAGGTCCTTATGTTATCATTGCATCACTATTCCGCTTGATATCAGATATGCGGGTGACACACTGACTATGACTGCAGCAGGGTGGTGAAGGGAGAGGAAGTTGAAAATCCCGGAAGCTTATAGGTTCGTGAGAGCTGAGGAGCTGTTGTGTCGTAACTGAGTGGGAGGCGTACGCTGTGCGGGTTGAAGAAGCTCTAGATCGCATATATATTAGTTCCAACGTCACCTCAGTCTGTTACTCATAGATTGCAACAAAGCTTACAGAGCTCATCCCTGACCATTGCAGGAGCTATGCATTTCATTGAGTTGTTATGATGGCCTGGGCTTCATATCGCTTGCAGAAACAGGCTCATCTGGCTGGGTTGGAAATGATCGAACGTTTTGTTGCTAAATGGCACCCTTCGATTTAGAGTTCTGATGGATGTTGGCGTTTTCGAGGTTGGATGATAGTTAAGTTTGGTCAATTCTGTATGTCTATACGTAAGACACATCAGCTATGCGGATTCATGGAATCTCACAGGGACACGCAAGCTTTGTTTTATCGTGCACGGCCTCCCATCCGGTCGCTTCGGGTCGGTATGATGGAAAGAAACACGGTTGGTACCGATATTTTAGGGACAGCTCACTTACTGACCTGATTATAGGAGGTTCATTTCAATTTTTGTCATGAGCGAGATCGTTTGCATCACTCCCTGGTGGGAGACACCATAGTAGGGCAGCACATCATCCGGGTGCCAAAAGGCAAAAGCTTCCCACGGTACTGTCAACAACTCGGAACGGAGCCATGATGATGGTTAGTCTCTCTAGTGGGTCAGGTCATATTCTTTCAAAGAACACATTTTTATCTGATCGAGTCCTCTGGGACGTTGGGTCTCTGATCGTTTAATCGGAAGCACCGGTGCTTGTATCTTGGCAGTTCTGCTATGCCGCATCCCCTAAATGGAGTAACATAGCCAGGTCAAGCTATTACCGCCATCAAAATGAGAGAAAAGTACTAGTCAGTCAATAACTAGAGTAAGATAGTTAATTGACTAATTATATTGTTACTTACTAAGCCGACATGATGTTAGCATAGACTATCGCGGTCCGTGTGCAGATATCTTTTGGGCCATAAATCAAGCTTGGTATGCTCATCCTCTCCCATGCATATCCTCGGTTACTAGAGCATATTCACAGGTATCATTAGGCTCCGACACTACTTATTTGAGGGATATATATTGCTCAAGGCTCTCAGTCTCATTTGGTTTGGAGTGCTGTTACCAATCCCAAATATGAGGAGCATTGTATGGTCAATGAGATGCAATGACGTATGTGAATGATTCCTGCAAGGCAGTACGACAGACACATTTCCAATCAGATTGGCTTTGTGAATTCATCATTCCGTCGAGGATGTTAGCCAATAGCTGTTAATGATTTAGTCAATTATTGATGGCTCAGACGAATACATGTACTGTAGGCTGCGGTCAGTTTCCGAGGCCAAAAGAAGGCCCTAGCCAACAAAAGATTTGTAAGGGCCCTCTTCTTGTAGCGACTCCAATCATGCGCCCCGTTTTCATGGAATCGTCACCCAGATCTTCTGTCCAACAAGTAAGCGCCGGTATTCACGGAGGACTGGCATGTGATCAGGCGGGTATATGCAAGCCTTGCCTAGAGATGGTCAGGAAATTAGGCTGGACCTAATTGTAATGCGCTCATAACGTAACGCATCCCTTTAACTGCCGCCTTTGCCGTATGGTGAACGCGAGATGAGTCTTTTCAGCAGGAGGCCAGAAGCACAGTCCATACAGTATGTCACCAGTCACCTGCAATGGAGAAGTGATTTTAGATGTTAAACGGGAAGTGCTAGAGTGCGAGCCAGTTAGATTGGGCGTACATTTAGCTATGTGAACTTTTCATAAACCTATTGGTCTTAGTAGATGTTGTCAAGAGCCTCTTGGATAATGTCCTTACAAGCAGTACGGAGTGTAGGTTTCTCCAAGCGAATGCCACGAAACGCATTCATAGGTGAAATCAGATGAGGCAGTTGCGCACGGGACTGCAAACCGCGTTATGAGATAGTCCTAGAGATATGCCACGCAAGCACTCATGCTATCCAACCAAAGAACAGAAGCATGGCTCGGATGTGGATAATCGTGGACGAATGAATGAGCTGAACGTACTGGAGTCGCGAGGGGGGCCGGATGAATGGATCAGAATACCGTGAAGGAATAACCTGGAGACTTGGACACGGATTCAGGTGTGTTACAGTAGACAAAGGAGAGACTTTAGACACAAGTAGCTCCTCTGAATTGATCACATCAGCCAGTGTCTTTTCCTAGTTGACTGTTATCGATCTCCTTGCAGGATCTTACGAGCAGGTCCTCGATTCCGACGAGAAAATCGTCAGGAGGGGCTAATTGGTCCAACTAAAGACAATGAGAAGATTAGAACTGGTAGAACTGACAGAACTGGCAGGAAAAACCAATCTTGTAAAGTTGCTGTTGAGTAAAGCAGCAGGCAAATGGAATCGAGCTCGCAGGGGAACTGCTCGTGACTGTTGTTGCTCTGTCACGGGATCCCTGTCTCCAACTTTCCTCTTTCCAATCTTTACTCCTTTTCCTGCTGTATTCTCTATCTCCTGTTCTGTTTCAAGGCCTCTTCATAACACGCAGGTTTCTATTGCCAAATACAACTCCCTAACTGACTCCACGCCTTTCGACCCACCCCGATCTTGTGTGGTCGCACAATGGCTGGATCATCTGGCGTCCAGATTTCGGTCTGAATACGAACTGCCCTGACCTTTCATTCCACATTAACCGACTCAATACCACGCCATCGGCCAAATTGTTCCTCTGGGATCATGATTGGTCTTTCATAAGCTCGCCTACACGTAATTAGGCTGATTGGTCCTTCTGCTATGGAATCCCAGCGACATTCCAAAACTGACGGCAGCTCAGTCCTCTCGCCGCGCTCCAAGTTTCGGAGCCCACCCACTCACTGAGCACCTGCCCCAAGTATTCTTGCCCTTTGCAGAAACCACAGCTGGCAAGGCATACCTCTATTAGCGCCATGATAATCTGGCATTATGGAGTTCATCGGGAACTTTTCTGGTTGGCCAGATCCCTGATGGCGTACACTGTTTACTATTTCGGGTTGGTAACTGAACCAGGCAGGTATGATTGCCCAAACGTGAGATAAGAATACTCCGCACTTTATAGCGCTTCATATTGACGGAGGACCGGGTTTTGCCGCCTGACTGGTGGTCTGAGAATCGCCTCCCAGTTGTGTACACTACTGATTTCTCTGGAGCAACCGATAACCAAATCCGACAACATACAGTACTTAGAAGTATCTCTACCATCCATACTATGTATAAAATACCTCCCCTTTACCATGTTGGCTGATGTCTGCTGCCTGATTTAGCTAAGTCCTGCGATACGTAATGTTTCAAGAGTAACATTTGCTCCAATTACTCACGTCGCCATGTTACGTGCTCTGGAGGCCACAGACGCCCCATCGAGAGAAGCTCTGCAAGGATTCCCCAGGATGGTAGCTATAGGTATACAGGCTTATATCATCAAAGCCACCCAGTTCGCGCTCTCCTCTGCCGCATAGCTCGCTTACAGTATAATATCAGGCGCTTTAGTTGGTCTGGTCAACCGTGCGTATCCGTGCATCGCGGCTGGCAAGGCCGTCAAACTGTCTCAAATCACTGCCTTGGCCCGAAGCCCATATGAGTGGGGGTTGCGCCATGGGGTGTACGTGCGACGAATGAGATGAGGGGTCTCAGTAGGCTGATCTGGACCGATCTCTATTGTCCGACAAATTCCATGTTGGATAAGAGCCTTTTATTGATCATTGTTTGACCTAACCCCGATGATCAGCAGCGCCACAAAAAGCCTTGCTCGCGCCTTAAAGTCATGGTTTATTGCTTCCCGGGCACATCTACTACCAAAGAAGGATGTGGGACATGGATCAAGGCTGCAGACTTGGTAGCGGAACGTGGTTTTCTTGACCACGGGCCAAGTACCAGCAAGCCGGATGGGAAGTAGGCCAGTCCAACCCAGACGCTTGAGAAGCATAGACCGACGGACATAGTGAAGTTGCCGAGTAACCTGCTGCGGTGGGGATTCAAATACTTCCTTCGGCGCCTCCTCTTTCCTTGGCCTTGCCCGGGATTATGTTGCACTCATTGCGAAACCTCGTAAATCCGGATGACATAACCAATCAAAACCGACATATGAATGCTCTGCAAGCTCCGAGCGCCAGACCTATTGAGCCTACACGCTGAACTGAATACGTGTAAGATTTTCTGTAAGCGAAGGTAGCAATATTCCATATTACCAGGAGAGCGGCACACGCTTAACGACACTTTTAGATACACACTATTTCCGAGCTGCGCTACCAGAGACGCTTTTCCCAGGACTTGGGGCGCGAAGTCTATATTTTTTATGATATTTCCCATCATCAACGTGACATAAACCTCATACTAATACATCGGGCCCTATTGACGATTCCGACACACAATCAGCACGGCTCACATAATGTCCACGAAGATGCGGCCACCGTCAAAAGAAGACAGAAATTCCAATGATGCCCCAGGGCAGAAGCAGGACCCAATCGAGAGGAGAAGATTACAGAATCGGCTCTCACAACGAAATCATCGTGAGTGATTTCCACTTATGATAGATTTAAACAGAAGTCAGTTAATAGTTAGCAGGGCGCAAGATTCGAGATCGCATTGCCAAGCTCCAAGAACGCGTTATTGCCAGTGAGTTGCGAGCAGCAGCCAGCTTAAACGGTTGGGACCATCCCAGCACACTTACGCCGTCGCCTGTCGATCGAATGCCGCCAATATTCGACACTGATGGACATCCCACATCTCCCATTCAGGATGCCTCGTCAGCTTTGGGCTCCACGTACTTCCCACAATCAAGAGTCGTCTGTTCATCCTGCAATAGCGCTCTGGGCTCGATACCCGTCCTATCTTCTCAGCCATCCTTCCCCTCTGTATACGATACTCCGAATGACCTCGATGCCACCTCCCCCTCATCCGCCCTGAGGAACAGTGTCTACTATCCTCGATCGAATCCTATCACTCCTGAACTACAGAACATGAACAATATTTATCCTTCGTTGGACTCTAACCTTCCTCTTACTGAACAGTGGAATAATACAGCTCAGTACCCAGGATCCTCCTTCTATTACATAGCAACAGGTACGCGGAAATCGTCGCTGAAGTATAATTGGAATGATCCGATACTGACTGCTCCTCAGAGGCGTCCCTTCCTCATATTATGCAAGCCATAAATTCTGGCTCATCACGTCCCAAGGCGATTATTGTACTTTCACCTAATAATCATCCGCCGGGTCTTCCAGCACCCCTTCCAACATCCCAGTCGTCGCCACCTGGCGGCAGCGCAGTCGAATTGCCCGCGTCCTCGAGTCCACTGGGTATGCATGATTCGCAATGCCAATGCCAGGGCCTAATGACTTCAGGTGATTGGATAAGCTCAGGAACGTCTGCACCCACTATTTGTCCGATACACCAAATGCAGTCCGGAGACAATCTGCAGCTGATGATGCTGTGATTTACCTGATATATATAATACTATATGGATGTCCCATTGCCTGCATTGAAGAATAGATGGCACACAAGACCACATCGGATAACTAGCGACTTCGATTATTTCATCTCTCATTGCATCCAAGCAATTTCCTGATTTACCTGGTATTGAGGTCAGACTCATGGCATGGTATCCACAAGTTCAGGGCGTGGATATGTTTGCCCATATGCGGCAGTCGGAGTTTAGCGCCCGCTGCATTGATCTGAATGAAAGAAGCAATTATGCTCTCAGTCTACCACAATAGCCCGATAGGAAACTTTTCACCTTGTAGGCGCCAATGAATTATATCCCCGAGCATCCATTGCAGCTGAAGAATAGCTAAATATGGTCCCACACTGGCCAAGAGGTCTTTTCTCTTTTTTTTCTTTTTATTTTCCCCTTCAACATACCTACCCTTGGCCGCAGTGGCCATTGCTGAAGAATGCCATCTTCCCTGGGACATTTTTTACACACCACAATCAACAGCCAAAGATACCAACAAACACCACACACCACAATAGCACATACATCATGCCATATTAGTGTATAAACGGGGTGTTAGGCATTGATCAAAGGCCGAGATACGTACGTACTTATGTTCCTGCATAACCGGCTCGTTCATCACGTAAATCACCACATTAACCCCATTCCTTCAAGGACTCAACTCTCACTCCTCATCATTATCACACCCCGCGGTTCTTCGCACCTACTTCCAGCCCCAACTGCGCCACACATTATTTCAATCCCGTCCTGCCGGTCTCAAACCTAGCACGTCGATAGCAATCCAATCCACCGTCCGCCGCCGTAACAGCCGCAACTGTCGTGCTCTGTTCTCGAAGCTTTCGCGTGGGAAAAATGGAGCTAGAGCATGTATTGTAACAACATCGTACTTTACCCACGCCGATCTTGATAGTAATCAGTACTCTGTAGTTTGTCTCCCCTCTTTTCCGAATGTCTCAGTGGTTGGGATCGGATTACATGTTAATTCTCGCAGATTGGACTGGACTAATGCACGGAGTTCATGTATGTACCGGTGGCGGTCAGGTAGGTTTGCATTGACATATAGGAGTGGCTACACACAATTAGTTCTTAGTTCATTTGTGCATGATATGTATGCATATGTAGCCGGAGCAAGGGTACTGACCTGCCTGTATGCTGGTAGTTGCCTACTTACGTGTGTGTTGTTTGCTATATTTGGGTGTAAGTAAGTATGTTACTCGCTGGTATGGTTGAACTGGATTGCGTTTTACATTGCTATTATTACTTCTGAATGTGAAGAGTTTGATGTGTTGTTTTGTGTTGATGATAATATGATTTGATACATTGGGATTCCAGCAGAGCTGTTTAGGCAAGACATCTGGCCATGCGCGTAGATTTCATTCGGAGCAGCACTTGCAGAACAACCTGATGCATCGCAAATTTGTGATAGGCGGAGTAATAAAAGCACGTAATAATAGATATATGCTTTCGAAGATCGCCGTTGAGCGAGCCTCTGACTAGTGATGGATGTTAGCACTGGCTATGTGGGTACTAAGTTTGAGTTCAATGGGCACATAACAATGCAATACCGTTCTGTGCACATCGTGTTAGTAGCCATTCTTAGTATTTCAGTCTCCAAATGGATTTTGGCTAATGTCGGCGCGTCCAAGTTCTGGAAGTCAATTGTAGACACGTTATTGAGGTGACCTTGACTTCTTTGACGGGCACCAAATCAAGTGGCAGATGTAAATGAATGTATGCAGGCCATTCCAAGTAATTGATTAGTCAGTGTTTACATCCTAGCCATAACCCTCAATTGGTATGAGGCAGCGTACTATGCAGAGGATAATACATTGCTACTCTCATATTACCTCCCATGGCAACTCGTCAACTTCTGGCCTATCCGTACAAAACCAAAATCCGTCCACAGAAAGTCATAGACAAGAAAAACCCTCATCCCAGTATATCCTCGGATAAATCTGGCGGATAACTTCAACCATCGGGATGTGGGCGCGAACTGCATTCATCCGACGGGCCAATCTCCGCATTAACGAACTATAAAACATCAACTATTCCGTATACGAGATATCCAAAGATCAAAGCAAGCATACTCACTCAGACAGCATACAAGAGACAAAACAACCACAATGACCTCTTCCTCCTACTCAGACCACTTCTCCATCCACAACCTTCCCTACGGCATCGCCTCCTCACCCTCCCATCCCACCCCGCAATGCGCAACCCGCCTCCACAACACTGTCATCTTCCTCTCCGACCTCCAATCCGCCGGCCTCTTCTCCTCAATCCCATCTCTCCCCGAGAACATCTTCTCCAACACCACCCTTAACCCCTTCGCCGCCCTGCCCCGTAGCACCCAAACCCAAGTCCGCCATGTCTTGCAATCCATCCTCCAAACCTCCTCCACCTCCTCCCTCCCCGAATCCAGCACTGCAGACATCACCACTGTAACCATGCATCTCCCCGTGTCTATACCTTCTTTCACCGGTACATAGCCCCCCCATCCCCTCAACCACTCTCCAAAAGTCACCACCATTAACAAGTCCCCACAAAAAAATAGACTACAGCGCCAGCCTCCCCCACAACCAACACGCGGGGCAAATCATTCTGAACCACCCGGCCCCACCCCCAGCATTCTTCCACTTCCCCATCGGCTACGCCGGCCGCGCCAGCACCATCTCCGTCTCCGGCACCCCAGTTACCAGACCATCAGGGCACTTCTACGACCGAACCGATCCCTCATTCCCACAGACAAAGAAAGTCATCTTCGGGCCATGTCGCGCACTAGACTACGAGCTCGAAATAGGGATCATTATCGGAAACCCCCTCCCTCGGGGACAGGGCCTCAAGGCCCAAGATGCGGAAGAGCATATCTTTGGGTTGGTAATGTTGAATGATTGGAGTGGTGAGTATACCTACCCCACCCCCCTTAGTTTAATCCACTACACAAAGGCAATACTAACAAGCGGGTGGGAATAAGCACGCGACATCCAAGGCCTCGAAATGATCCCCCTTGGCCCACTGAACGGGAAGAACTTCGCGACTACTATCTCCCCTTGGATTGTCACGTTGGATGCACTGCAGCCGTTTAAGACGCCCGGTCCGGAGCCGAGAGTTTCCCTCCCGGTGCATTTGCAGGATCCGGGGGAGTTTAATTATGATATTAATGTTGTGACGGAGCTGGAAGCCGGTACTGGGAAAAGTAGTGGAGGTAGTACTGTGCTGGGACGGGGTAATGCGAAGGACCTCTTCTGGAGTATCAGACAGATGTGTGCGCATTTGGCGAGTACGGGGTGTGATTTGCGCACGGGGGATATTCTGGGCACGGGGACGGTGAGTGGGGAGGAGGAGGGGTCGTATGGGTGTCTTTTGGAGGTGACGGAGGGGGGGAAGAAGAGGATGATGTTGGAAGGAGGTGATGGGGACGAGAGGGGGTATTTGGTTGATGGGGATGTGGTGAGGTTGACGGCTTGGGCTGGAGAGGGGGTTGGGTTTGGGGAGTGTGTGGGGCAGATATTGCCTGCGAGGGATTGAGTATTTCTTTTATTGCACTGTATGTGATATGAGTTATGTAGACTGTTGAAAGCTTGAATGGAAGTAAAGATTGTGGGTGAGTAAATCTGAATATATGATACTAGGAACTAGATAAAAGTCAATACATGTCCCATTTTCATTTGCGCCGGCCGTGCCATCCCAGCCAACCAATCCCCTATACCGATGCATATATCAGACGCCTAGATAATTAAACAAATGTACAGCCTATATTGGCATCCCTCAGCTCCAGAGCGGCGGGTGGATGTACTCCTGCGCTCTGTCAAGAATATTAGGTATCGTCCACTCGCCGCTGGTAGAGCTCTCTGGCGTGGGCGGCGGCAAGGATCCGAGACTCGGCGTCATGCTAGCCGACACAGGCGGAACGCCCATGCCCGGGTTGAGGTAGTTCGGTGATCCTGCTTGACTGGCACGAGCCGCCTGGGCATTGAATGCGCCTTCCAATTTCTCTAACGCACGAAGGGTCTTTGTCAAGGGTTTGGCCCATTGAGTCTGCGTGTCGACGGCCACAGCGGCGGAGGCTGGAGATGCTGAGTTCAGACCCGCAGGGCTGGGCGCTGTGGTGCTTGGGGGTCTTGTGGCTGCACCGAGGCGGGCGCTGCTGTCGACTGGTGGGACCGCAGCGGCTTCTGTGGCGGCTCCGTAGTCGCCCTCGATGTTGGCTCGTTCGGCAATGATCATCTTGAGTTGTTGTAGGAGGGTCCAGAACCGGGAGTGGCCCTTGACTTCCTCTGTGACTGCCAGCAGGAAAATCGAGCTAATGGCGCGTTGCAGGGCAATCCATGACCGTGAGGCGTGGGAACTGACGGTGTGCATTTCAACATAGGCTTCCACGGTGGTCATCAGGTTGCTCACGCAGTCGGTGCGCATGTTGGATAAGGCGGGGTCACTGATGTCAGCGTTTGCTTTGAGCGCTGGCCGGCAGAGCTCAGAAGAGAAGTAAGATGAGTGCAGCTTGAGAACAACCCGTTCGAGGTGTTCGGTTGCTGAAAGGCAGTATTTGCGGTCTCGAAGATGTGGCTTGGCCTCTATCATGATTTGTTGAATCCGTTCTTTGTAGGTTTGGATCGTTTTGTAGCTTAGTTGTGAGTGCGGGCTCAGCATCCGGCTGCGGACCACCTCCAGCGCTAGTGATATGATCCGACACAGTGTCTCGAAATATGAGAGCTCGCCGGGCTTTCGGTCATCCTTGTAGGCAATTTCTGGCTGGCTGACGGCTGTCGTCGACGGCCGATCGTAAGATAGGGAGAAGTGGCTATCTTGCCATGCCATGGACCACCTAGACTTCATTAGAAATCGCCAGTCGTGATGCAGACTAGAAACTTACCACACGTGGCGTCTACGATATCGCTCAGCTGCAGTGAAATGACCTGACTCCACATGCAAGCCGAGCGCCAGCCCCATTCGAAGGGTCATACCAAGGAGAACATACGATATCCCGGGGTTCATGTTGTACGATAGCACGTTCCCAATCACTAGCAGCGTCTGCATGGCGTCTATTGTGGGCTGGGATAGGAAGTTGGTCATTCGAAGACACTGGTAGGAGCAGCATACTGCAATAGATCAGCACCTGCATTCTACCACAAAGCAGACAGAACTTACCGTATACTTGAGATGTAAGCTCTCTTTCCTTTCCTGGTAAATCCGACGACTGGCAGCCGGAAGCAAGAACGGCAAACAGCAATCCCATATAGGCGATAGTGACACCAAAAGGTTTCTGGGCTTGATCGGCATCCGCCCGGTACATACCACCCATGGCAGCTCTATTCCGCAGCATAAGATCGAGGTTCATCTCGAATTGTGGGACATCTTCCAGCACCGGGTAGATGGCGCCTGCTATATCCCGGTAGTAGTAGAAAAACCTGTAGCAACCTTCGTTAACTCCACAACACTACCAAATCAGCTGTCGATGCAGACTAACTCTTTGCACTGTTGGTCACTCGGCAGTGCGCTGCAGACGGCGCTGATATCAAAGGATGACATATCCGATGACCACAGGTCAACGAACGGATACGTCGCAGACTCGTTATCCAGACCCAGCTTCGGCAGTATCCCACCCTCAAGGAGCGCTTGAAGCTGATCCGATCCCGACTTATTGTTCAAGATGTAGGCCAAAACAGACCTGGATCCCAGGTGTACAGTGCCTTCACCAAACGTATTCGGCGCATGGATGCCCTCTCGTTCCGGGGAGGCACCCTTGGATCTGTTACTCGCATCCCCGCTCCGCACGCTGCTCGTCTCCAGCGTCGAAGCCGGCCCTTCCTCGGCCTTTTCCAGACCCACCCGCAGGTTATTGATGGTTTGCTCCATCTCCTTCAATCTCGTGCGAACATTGTCCCATTCCTCGCGCGCAATCGACACACGGCCGCCGGCTGCTGTTATACTTGGCCGGCTCACACCCGGTTCTTGCTTTAGACGCACGGGAGGCTCGGGCGCGTACCCGAGATTCTCTGCACTCGTAGGCTGGCTACCAGGGATAGGGCCGTCGGGATAGGATTGCGGAAGCGAGCCGGTCATGACGCGCTTTTTCGAGGGACGCTCGTATGAACAAAGATCGGCATGATCGCGCTTAACACAACCGTCGCAAGGTAGGTTTCGATCGCACTTAACTTTGCGGGCGTGACACGGGTAACAGGCTTTAGGTTCGCGGGCCTTTCGCTTCGTTCGGATGATTGCGTCAACCTGAGATTGGGGCAGGTCGGAGACTGGTCTGGATGAGGCAGTCGAAGGACCTGAAGCCGTCATGTCGGGGCCCGCTACGGACGGCGAGTACGACACGGACGGCTGGTATGGGGACGTCATTGCAAGGCTATGTGAAATAAAACTGATAAAAGAGAGACTCGGTCTGAGATATGATCGGCGATTCGGCTAGATTAATAAGTGCGTGTTGCTGGTATACTGATGCTTTCCCACATGAACGTAGCGGAGTCGAGCGGGAGAAAAGAATGCGGCGGTGGCAGTCGTTGTAGGTTGCAGGGTTCACATCGATAGTGAGTACTATATAATTAGTCCATTGGCAGCAGGTTTGTGATGTCGGTTCAGATGAGCCAGGTTCGCATCATCTCGCAGCAAGAATATCACCGCGAGAGCTGGGCGCAAAGACGAAATGCTGAAGACGGACTTGGCCGAGCACCGACCCCGTCCAGCATCCATGACTAATCATAGTGTATAGTCACGTGCATAAGAGGGGGGAAGCTTGGCGGTGCCCTAAGCCCTATCTGGACTATCATAGCCGGTGACGTAAGGCAGTGGCTGGTAACTATGGCTTCCTAATCAACGTGACAGCATTCTAGAGTGAAAGTCCTACTTGTATCCTGCGTTATCTGCAGCTGCCTTGGCATATCTAGGCATTGGGTTATTAAACAGCCAAGCTATTCTAGTGACGGACGCTAATCTAACGGGATCAAGGATTGTAAGTAGATCCTTCCGTCACTCGCCCCATTGCATGCTAAATGACAGACAGATCAATCTCATAATAGCAGTTTGACGGTGATTTCTTATCATTATTGTCCTTAAATCTTCCCGTAGGAGTACGAGTACGTCGCTGAGCTGTTATCCGGCACACCAGGCGTCGAACTCCAAAAATACGTTGCAGCCAGTGGATTACCGACAGCTTCAACAATAGGAGCCAACGTGAAGTTATGCCTTGGATCATGCTCCTCTAACAGGCCATCCAGGACATCCTGCGGTGGAGCATAGTCCTGTGGCTGATAAAACAGGAATAAGGTAAAGTCGTGTACTCTGCTTGTTGCAGGCTGCGCAGGGTGATACGACGCCAGAGCATTGCTAGAGTTGATGAATTTCCCGTCCTGCAGTGTGTAGTTCCATCCCCACCAGTGCAGACGAGCTGTTGTGTTGACCAATCGGCCAGGTATAAGGCTTGAGTATTGGTCCAACGTGGCGAAGGCCGAATCAGCAACATCGTAATCCACCATCATGAGCATATATGTTCCCGGGTAGGAGCTTGTAGAGTAGCCGGGATACACGGTCGGGTATGTAGTATCTATTTTGGACGAAATTAGCATACTAGATAAATATAATGATGGGACTTCGCTCTCCTGATATGGAAGAACGCTGGTTGTAAGAGGAGGTACATACCGTTTGGATTTTATCCAGACCCCTGGAGTTATGATGTTATCTCCAAATGAGACCCCTAGATTGGTCTTGGTTTGTGGCCAAACACCAGCTGCTGTCTGCGCCAGAGCAGTGGTCGCAGCAAGAGCAGCCAGGATCGGTGTAGTTGTTTGCATATTTAGTATCCACTAATTCATCTAGTAGCTGCACATTCATTCAAGTCAACGCCTTTGACTCCTGTTATAGGATAGAAATCCTTGGAAGGGTGATCCAGTTAAAGTCCTCTGAAAGAGCACGCAAGTCACTCGGGATGACTGCTTCTGAAAGTGTACAGCACAACAAATATCACTATAGTGGCATTCTTTTAAGGATGACTCGTCAATAGCAAAGTCAGGCAAGTTGAAAATGGAGACAACGGGTGCTACATTCTTTAGCCAAATTGCCATAGCCAAGTTTGTTAAAATACCTATGCGTGTCACGAAAGTGATTTTGGAGGGTATGAATTTAGCAGATAAGAGTTTCCTTGGAAAAAGATACTTAAGGCTGGTCTGGAATGAAGTACTACTACCAAAAAAGGCGGGAAGTACAATGACTTGTCAGAGATACCCACGTTATGAATACTGAGATGTCCAAGGAGCTTTCTATGAGTACATAAGAAATTTCACATTAGATGAATGGCTATTATACTATGCGGTATGAGGTCTAATGACAGCATCTTTCGTTAGAAGCACATGGTGTACATATCTTCTTGACATCGACAACGCATCAATCGTCCACGTAATGTGCAGGGTTTGAGAGAAAGATCCTTTTTTGGGGATGTATCGGGTATTTTACTAAAACGTGAGTAGCTGCAGATAATCGCCTGGTTACCATGCGACTAAATTCGCTGATTCTTATCTCTTCTCGCCATTTTCTTCGTCGTCACTGAAGGCATAACGCGAAAACCGCCGAATGGACGCTCCTTTGAAGTAGAAGACGTACGGGATCGCGCAGCAAGCCAGGGCAATGAAAGCAAGCAAGGAGCTTGCCCACTGATACCCAAGACGATCATACATCTGCTCAGTGAAGAGTACGGTTGATGCACCCCACATTGAGCGAAGGAATGTCTTAGCGGCAAGCGCAGAAGCGGCTTGGTGCTGGTACGTATCCACTAGACAAGAGGTCAGCAAGTCCCGATAGTCTATTAAAGCGAGCATACCAAGATAGTTGTTGGCCGAATTATATAAAAAGATAAATCCGAATCCGACTGGCCAGCCTCCAATGGCAGGTCCGATCCAATGGATAGTGGGATATGAGGTCCAAGCAAAAATGAACAGTCCGATGGGTATAAGCCAACAAGAAAACATCATCGGGATCAATCGAGCTTCAGCAGGAGGCTTTCCTCCGTACTTAGCGTAAAGAGATAGGTAGTGCTTGTTGACAAAAGGCGCGCAAGCGGCACTCATCAGTACGCCAATGGCAAGTGGGATAAACATAAGACCGGTCGAGCCGGCACTCCATCCTTTCCCAGATTGGTATACCACAGGATAGCTGATATTGCAGTCAGTAAGGCGGTCATAATAGCAGATATTACACTACTCACGCAACAAAGAACATGTACAGCAAACCGTATAGAACCGACATGTAAAGCGCGATGAACAGAACAATGGGTTCCAGGAACAGAAGCTGAAATGGGCGGAAGAGGAACACCCGCAATTTCTCGCCCATGGGTCGAGAATCTAGTTCCGTTTCCGTGACGTAGCTAGGATCGTCCTCTTGTTTTCTCAATTTTTTCGCCCTTCGCTTGAGAAGAGTTGGTGCATACGTTTCTGGAACAGTGAAGGTAATCAGCACCCAAGCAACAAATGCCAGGATTAACTGCAACCAGTAAAGCCACTTCCAGTTAGTAGCGTCGGCGAGATAACCGCCAGCCAGCGGTCCAATGGCAGGCCCAATGAATGGACTGGCTGAGAACGCTGCCATCGGAACACCTCGCTCTTCATTCTTCCAAAGATCGGCCAAAGTTCCACCCACTAGCGTCATGGGAGCACTGAACGCGATCCCATCAATAGCTCTGCAGACAATGAGGGTCCCGATATTTGGAGCTACGGCGCAGGGAATAATGAAAATGACAGCTAGTAAGAGCGTGCTTGCGTATATCATCCGCCGGCCCACCATTTCGGACAGGGGGGCAAAAGCCATGGGACCTGAGCCTAGTCAGAGAAGTTTATCAAGCCAAATTACTGAGAGAGACTTACCGACACCAAAGCCAATAACGAACACAGTAACGACGACAAGGCTAACCTCTCGAGAAACGCCGAATTGTTCTGCAGGGCCTTCGATATCGGCCGTGATGACGCTACTGGCGAAAGCGACGACAAAGCATGTGAATGAGACCACCATGGTACAATACCATTTGAAGGCTTTGGACCAATTTTTTGGGTTCTCGGGATCGTCGACACTGAAGGTTACCAGCTTCCAGTCTTCCGTTTTCCCTGTAGCAGCGGACCGGACTGGTTTGATGATTTCTCCTGTGGTGGTTTCCGTCGTGTATTCCTCCATGTTGGCGTTCTCGGTCACCTGGCGATAGGGTAGATCCAAAGGATCGGTCTCAGTTGTGAGAGCTCGTGAGACATGATTATTTGAATAGTTGGAGTGGTATGTTTCCTCCATATCTTGAGAGGTTGTCGAGCGAGGCATCACCCGTGCAATGATTAAGATGGTTTTGAGATGTACATGTAAACCCCAGTAGCCACGCGAGGCCTTTCCTTGTATATATAGACGGCCATGCCTGTTATGATCGCCGGTAATTTGAAGGTTTTAGTTCGGTCGTATACGAGGTAGAAGGAAGTCCAAGAATCCATGGGAGACATATTTCCTGAAAGGGCAGTATGTCGGGCCGGCTAGCAGATATCTTACTCTATCAGGAAGTTAGAGAGCTAGCCTGATCAGGGAATATGCCACGAGAGTACGAACACTATAACACGGCTTCTACTTATTGGCTTCAGAAAAAGCTTTATCATGCTTTCTTCAATTTCGATAGATGCAAGTGCGTGTCCAATATCGGAGCATCTTTTTAGGTGAGCTAGGGAGATAAGGTGTGCATAGATCAACACTCTCTCAGAAAATCTTGACTTGCAAGGTATGCCATCTCATTTCAGACAGACATTCATAGAAGTAATCGGATAGAAAGGAATATTTCTCAGGTGAAGAGCCCATTGAACCATGGCTTTGCCGCCATGGAGCATTGCGTGGCTTTCATGCTTAATCCCAAAGCGCTAAGGCCTGAGTCTGCCACCTCCATTGCATATGAAAAGAAGTCTCCGCTGCCAAGCTGCAAAGCCAAGGATTAAAGTGCATTGCTGTTACTTGAAGATTTCGTGGTTTCCGCCAGCAACCCGGAAGGGTGCCTCGGAGAATGTTTCCCAAATAGGAAAGTTTCCCTGCATGGAGACAATCGGTTTGTAATGGAAAAGGAGAGCCAGGACATTCTTGTGGAGTCCATCAATCTAGACCAGAATGTGTTTAGTTTTCTTTATCAGATCGTAAGTTTTGATCTTTGCATCTAATTGGGCCAACAGAAAATGCTTTAATCATACAGGGTGAACAATATCGAGAATGGACCTTAATACGACATCAGCGGGCACAATCAACCGCTCATCAACCATTCAACGCCACAAGGAGCTATCTCTGAGCTATGGCCCATCCTGGCTCCATTCAGTTGTACAACCCGATTGTTTTCGAATGATCCATAACAAAGCTCGATGATGGAATGTCTGTAGTCAGCGTTTTCCGAAGACTTTGACGGCATTGGGTGAACGTGTATTTTGGTACTCTGGGTCTACTAGTCTCATCATAAACTGCTACATCAAACAGATTATAGTTGATATCAGTGAGCTATCCATTCCATGACACCTTCATAGCTACTTTGTGGCGAATGTTAAAATGTCATCGACGATTATCTGCAGGCCTGAGGCAGAAGCGTACAGTTTTCCGGGGAAAAGCGACAGTGCACGTGAGCGATAAGGAGGCGATAAGCCGGAAGCGGATTAGCGCGGGGTGGTTTTTCCCACCCGCAACCGTGGAGGAGAATAATTTTGTGACTCGACGAGCAGCTCAACGCCCCGTCGCTGTGCTCCTCAGTCAGTCGAACTCGCACGCGAGAGGTGTGTCTGTGACACCTTCATCCAGGGGACTACATTGTTCCCCTTATTCAAAGTACAACACTACATTCCGTTCTACCCTCCCACCTGTTTCCTAAATTCCGCACCGACCGAATACCCATAACTTCACAATGGCCTCCGACTCCACCTACTTGGCCATCCCTGGCTCTGTTGCCTTCTCCCGTTCTCGTGGTCGTGCAATTGCTGCCAGCATTGGTGCACAGGATGTCCGTGCCCAATGGGTTCATTACGTTTACCTCTCCCAGCCGCTGGACGCTCCCCAACAAGGTGTCTTGGAACAGCTCCTTCACTATGGCGATATCACCGATGTCCCGCCCTCGTTCAGCGCTGAAGATGGTCCTTCCGATGTCTTCCACATCTTCCCCCGCACCGGTACAATCTCCCCTTGGAGCTCTCAGGCTACTGGTATCTCCCATGTTTGTGGTCTGCGCAAATATGTCAATCGCATTGAGCGGGGTATGAAGATCTCCTGCCTGCGCGCAGGCTCTGGCGAGTACAAGTCGGGATACCAGGATATCTTGCACGATCGGATGACTCAGGTCATCAGCGAGGAAGAGCCTGACTTGCACCTGATGTTCTCCGAGCACAGCCGTCTGCCTCTCGAGACGATCCCCCTGCACGGAAGTGGCAAATCTCCCAAGGAGGTCCTGCAGGAGGCAAACAAGCGGCTCGGATTGGCTCTTGAAGAGTCCGAAATTGATTACCTGGCTGAAGCCTATGGTCCCAACGGCCCCATTGCTCGCGATCCGACCGATGTCGAGCTGTTCATGTTCGCCCAGGTCAACTCCGAGCATTGCCGTCATAAGCAGTTCAACGCATCGTGGGTCATCGACGGAAAGCAGATGCCTAACAGTCTGTTTGCTATGATCCGCAACACCCACAAAAAGCATCCAGAGTACACTGTCAGCGCCTACAGCGATAACGCTGCTGTCCTTGAAGGAGACGAATCCGCTTTCTGGGCTCCCAACTCGGCCACTGGTGAATGGAACCACACTAAGGAACTTGTTCATTTCCTGGCTAAGGTCGAAACACACAACCACCCCACAGCCGTTTCCCCCTATCCCGGTGCTGCGACCGGATCTGGTGGTGAGATTCGTGATGAAGGTGCCGTGGGCCGGGGTTCGAAGCCCAAGGCTGGTCTCTCTGGTTACTGTGTTTCCGATCTCCTCATCCCGGATCTGAGGCAACCTTGGGAGCTCGATGTCGGTAAGCCCAACCACATCGCAAGCAGTCTGGACATCATGCTCGAGGCACCCATCGGTAGTGCTCATTACAACAACGAGTTCGGACGGCCCTGCATTTCCGGTTACTTCCGTACCCTCTTGACTGAGATCGAAGTTGGTAACGGCCAGACCGAGCTCCGCGGCTACCACAAGCCCATCATGATTGCTGGTGGTGTCGGAACTGTTAGACCCGATCATGCCATCAAGAAGCCCGAGGCTGTCAAGCCTGGAGCCTTCCTTGTTGTGCTGGGTGGGCCTGCCATGCTGATTGGTCTCGGTGGCGGTGCTGCCTCTAGTATTACCTCTGGTGAAGGATCTGCCGACCTTGACTTCGCCAGTGTGCAGAGAGGTAACGCTGAAGTTCAGCGCAGGGCTCAGGAAGTGATCAACGCATGCACGGCTATGGGTGACAACAACCCCATTAAGTTTATTCATGATGTTGGTGCTGGAGGTCTTTCCAACGCTCTTCCCGAACTGATCCATGACTCTGGTCTGGGAGCCACTTTCGAACTTCGTGAGGTGGACAGTGCCGACAAGAGCATGAGCCCCATGCAGATCTGGTGCTGCGAAGCTCAGGAAAGATATGTGCTGGCCGTTGGCGAGGAGAGCATGAACAAGTTCACTGCTATTGCTCACCGTGAGCGTTGCGGTTTCTCTGTCGTCGGCCGTGGTGGTGGCACGTCGGAGGAAGAGAAAAGGCTTATTCTTTTGGACAGGGACTCCACTGAGTACCCCAAGCCCATTGATCTGCCTCTCTCTGTCCTTTTCGGAAAGCCTCCGAAGATGACTAGGGTCGTGGATTCCCGCAAATTGAAGCTGCCCGCTGTGGATGCCAGCCTCACCACGTATCTCCCATCGATGGCCTCGAACAACCTCGAACTCATTGGTGAAGCCGCGAACAGGGTCCTGTCTCTCCCTGCTGTTGGCTCTAAGTCTTTCCTCATCACCATCGGTGACAGGACGGTCGGTGGTCTCACTGCCCGCGACCAGATGGTTGGCCGGTGGCAGACTCCTGTTTCCGACGTTGCTGTCACTGCCACGGCGTTGGTTCAAGGTGTTAAGACCGGTGAGGCCATGGCCATGGGTGAAAAGCCCAGTCTTGCTTTGATCTCCCCCGCGGCTTCCGCTCGCATGGCAGTCGCAGAATCTCTCATGAACATTGCTGCCGCTGACCTGGTCGACCGTCTGAGCCGTGTGAAGCTTTCCGCCAACTGGATGTCGGCTAGCAACCACCCAGGCGAGGGTGCTGCCATCTATGAGGCTGTTGAGGCCATTGGTATGGATCTCTGCCCCAAGCTTGGCATCAGCATTCCTGTTGGAAAGGACTCTATGTCCATGAAGATGAAGTGGAAGGATGAGGCTTCTCAGGAAGCCAAAGAGGTTACTGCCCCCATGTCTCTGGTCATCACTGCCTTCGCCCCTGTTGGCAACTTCCGGAAGACCTGGACCCCTGCCCTTCGGCGTCCCGAGGAGGTTGGCGAAACTGTTCTCATGTTCGTTGATCTTTCTTTCGGTCGGAAGACTCTGGGTGGTTCTGCTCTTGCTCAAGTCTTCAAGCAGGTTGGTGACGAGTGCCCTGACGTGCGTGATGTTGAGATCTTCAAGGACTTCTTCGATGCTACGCAATCTTTGCAAGACGCCGGTATCGTTCTGGCCTACCACGATCGCTCCGACGGTGGTCTGTTCACCACTCTTGCGGAGATGATGTTTGCTGGACGCTGCGGTGTTGAGATCATGCTCGACAACATTTGCTCCAGCTCCAGCACCAAGGATGTTGTGGAGACTCTTTTCACTGAGGAATTGGGTGCCGTGTTCCAGGTCCGCAAGGAGCACGAAATTCAGTTCCGCTCTTGCTTTGCCACCTGCGGTCCTCCTGCTGGTCTGATCCACAAGATTGGACGTGTCTCCGAGAAGCCGAAGACGAACCTTACCATCTACCACAAGCACACCCTGGTGTACCGCAACAGCCGCGCCAACCTCCAGCAAACCTGGGCCACCACCTCCTACAACATGCAGAAGATCCGTGACAACGCTGCTTGCGCCGATCAGGAGTTTGCCAGCATTGCTGACGATGCCGACCCTGGTCTGTCCTGGAACCTGACCTTCGACCCGAAGGACAAGGCCATGCCTTTTATGACCAGTCTGACTCAAATGTCCCCCTTCAGCAACAAGCCCCGTGTTGCCATCCTCCGTGAACAGGGTGTAAACAGTCAAGCAGAGATGGCCTTTGCTTTCAGCAATGCTGGCTTCTCTGCTGTTGACGTTC